GGCAAATCTCTTACCGGCTGTCCCTCTCCGACTGCACACCGTCGTCGGGGCCGCAGGTCTGGCAACAGGGCAGCAGAGAGAGGAGTGAGACCCGAGAGGGGCGAGCAGGCCCTGCTAAGGAGCCGCGAAGCTCCGCCCCGCCAAGAGGACCTCGAAGGTGAGGTCCCCAGACCGCAGCGCTGCCCCCTCCCAGATGGGCCCAGAGAGCACAGCTCCTACTGCACTGGACACTACAACAGATAAATGTCTTCTATGTCTATTTTCATAAAGCCTGAACTCATTTCATACTTAATAAATAACATAACAGATTCCTAGAGATTTTATTTAGAATTTCACTATGGTAAGCTAGGTGTGGTGGTGCACACCCGTGACCCCAGCAGTAGGAAGGCCGAGGCAGAAGAGCTCTGTGAGTTCGAGGCCAGCCTGGACTGCACACAGTGAGACCTCTCAAAACTCCCCCTCAAAAAAGAACTTCACTGGTGAGACAAAGACAGGACACTACAAGATAAACAACAAAAACCCAAGTTGGGAATAGGCTTTTTCTATCAGTTTAATTAAATAAAGGGCCTTGGTGTTGAGAAATTATAGGTAAAATACAGGTAAATGGCAAAAATAAAAATATAGTATTGACATATATACTGATTAAAGTGAAATGATTATTTTAAATGCTAAGTGATATGTGGTATAAAAATACAGACTTATAAAAAATGAACATTTGCAAGATCCTTTAAAAGTCATCCTTTGAGGGCCAGGAATTTAGCTCACTGGTTCCACTGCCTATCTTGCAACAAGGTCCTGAGTTCGATCCTTGGTACCAGAATAAATAAATAAATGTTATCCATTGATAAAGAGAAAAAAATTGCAACTTATTAGCCAAAACTACAATAAATAAATACATGAAAAATAATATGTATTCCCTTCGTGTTTTATCTTTAGGCTGGAGCATGCTAAGCAACCACTCCCCGAGGTCCACCCAGCCCATTCTCTCTTTGTGGTTTGACACGACAGACAGTTTCTCCTACCAAAGGAGAAGGAAAAGACTGGCAAACTTCTTACAAGTGCAACCCTACCGATTTCACATTCACTTCCAGTTACCACTCTTTAATGCAACGGCAACTTACACTGCTAACAGGTGGGGCGTGAGCGGCAGTGTGTCCGGGTCAAGGTGCTCCTGGATGTTCCTCAGCGTGGTCAGCTCACTGCTGGCATTGCAAACCCACAGTGCGTGGACTACAACTGGAGGAGATGGGAAAATGAGTGTCTGGCCTCTGAAGTGGACCAGAGAAAAATGTCCTTGCAACTCAAAGCTTGGCTGCAGAACTGCATGACCCAAATAACCCCTCAAGGCCCCTGGAAGGCCTCGCAGTTCCTGCACCCGTCTGTCAGCCTCCATGGGAGCACCACGCACAGCCAGCCTGGACTTCCACAGGGCCTAACTGGTGAGGGTCTTTTGAGGCTGGCCTTGAACTCACTGTGTAGTCCAGGCTGGCCTTAGTCTTCCTGCATCAGCCTCCTGAGTGCAGGGATTTCAGGTGTGTGCCATCATGCCTGGCAGTGAGAAATTCTTTTTTTTTGGTACCAGGGATCGAACTTGGACTTTGTGCTTATGAGACAGGCAGACAAGAAATTCTTATTAAGACAAGCTATCCACCTTATTAATTTTTTTTTCTTGTTTTTTTGAGAAAGGGTCTCACTATGTAGTTGAGACTGACCTAGAACTCACTATGTAGCCCAGGGTGGTCTCGAACTCACAGTGATCCTCCTGCCTCAGCCTCCCAAGTGCTAGGATTACAGGTGTGTGCCACCATGCCCGGCTTTTATTTTTATTTTAATAAAGAACTTTTATTATTAAGCTGAATCCCTATCTAGTTCTATGAATCTGTGGACTTCTCTTTATGTTATAATTCTGTAATTATTTCTTTTTGCTTTTTTTTTTTGGTTTTTTGAGACTGGGTCTCACTATGTAGTTCAGACTGCTCTGGAACTCACTGTGTAGCCCAGGCTGGTCTCAAACTTGCAGTGATTTTCCTGCCTCAGCCTCCTGAGTGCTGGGATTATAGGCGTGCGCCACCACACCTGGCCTGTAATTATTTCTAATAATCTAGTCTATAATTAAAGACACAGCATTTAATGACACATTTCTAATATTTCATTTGTTCTTCTGATCTTGCAGTCTTAATTAAGTAAACCTAGTCAACCACCTTGACTATAACCAAAGCCTAAGTAAGCATTTGTCACTTTCGTATGGATATTTTCATATTTGTTGCAGCTGTTTTCTTCCTGATTTCAGCATCCTAATTTTCTGTCTTCTGTATATTTTCATAGACTAAAAGGAATGCATTCAATATTTAAAAGTTGCACAGAGAGCGTGTGCGGTGCGGTACTGTGCTGGTGATGCAGCCCTGCTGGCTGCTGAGCGCGCTGCGGTGCGCAGACTCAGAAGTGCGCCCTCCAGTTAGGCCCTGCGGAAGTCCAGGCTGGCTGTGCGTGGTGCTCCCGTGGAGGCTGACAGACGGGTGGAGGAACTGCGAGGCCTTCCAGGGGCCTTGAGGGGTTATTTGGGTCATTCAGTTCTGCAGCCGAGCTTTGAGTTGCAAGGACATTTCTCTGGTCCACTTCAGAGGCCAGACACTCAAAACAAAAACCCACACATACACAGAAAAAACAAACAAAAAAAGACAAAAGATGTTAATGTATGAGTTGTTTTTCCTAAACTAAAATCTCAGTATTCAGGTTTAATTGCAGTGTCAGCACTCTGCAATAAAAAAGTGGGTTTGGGGTTGCAGTTGTCTCTTTTAAGGAAAGAATTTTTTATAGGACGTAGCAGTACATACCTGTAATCCCAGCCCCTAGGAGGCTGAGGCAGGAGAGGAGGATCACTCCGATTTTGAGGCCAGCCTGGGCTACATAGTGAGACCCTGTCTCAAAAAAATCAAAAAGAGCCAGACATGGTGTCACACGCCTGTAACCCCAAAACTTGAGAGAGGCAGAAACAGGAGGATCACTATGTATTCAACATCAGCCTGGGTTACCTAGTGAGTTCAAGGCAAGCCTAGAATACACAGTGAGACCCTGCCTCAAAAAAAAAAAACAAATAAATTGGGGCCAGGGATATGGCTCAGTGGCACCGCACCTGCCTGGCAAGTGCAATGTTCTGAGTTCGATCCCTGGTACCTCAAAAAAAAGATATACCCCAAACTGAAAATTTCTGAGACCTCTCATGTAAAAATGATCTGTTTGATAAATGTACTTTCAAATAAACCTAGAGAATTAGAACTTGATTAAGAAATCATCAAAAAAATCATCTGAAAAATCTATTTTACAGTGTTTAATCTTTCTTCCCTTCTTTATGGTACTTGGGATTAAACCTGGGCCTTCACACTAAACTACATCTTCAACCCTTTTTTCTTCTTCTTTTAAAACAAGAGTATCTCTTAATCATCAAGTTGCCAGGCAAGTCTTGAAATTGTGATCTTCCTGCCTCACCCTCCCAGAGTGCTAGGATTACAGGTGTGCAGCACCCTACATCGTTTAATGCTCATATTTTTAAAAGCCAAGGATATACTGTGTAAAATTCAGTTTTAACAAAATACCTAAGTGACAGTTCAAGATTTCATGGTACTGCCAGCCCTGCAGGACATGAGCTGCAGAAACTTTGCTATGTCCAACCACCATACACGTTTCAGGAACAGTGCACACAGAGCAGAGTCCTGACAGGCTCTCCTGCTGATGGAAACAAACAGTCCCACCTGGTGCTCTGGCTCCAAGCACGCACCAAGCCCACTGTTCTCCTGAAGCGGAAGGAAGATGGTTGCGGACACTCACCATCAGTAGGCCAGCGGGATGGGATGTAGCCTTTCAGAGGAAGAAGCTCCACCTCGTTGGCAGAAGATGGGCCAAAGAAAGCGCTACATGCGATGAATGTGTCTAGTTCAAAGTCCAGGGTTTTTGAAATCACCCAGAGATCATCTGAAACGACAAACATGTCCCAGCTTCACTGCAGTATGACGAGGAAGCAACTGAGTATCATTGGTGTACAGCATGGTATTGGCAGGTGCACAGTGCTGGATCACAGCCAGGACCTCCAGGGCACCAAAAGCACACAGGTTGCACTGAGCCCCACCCCAGCACCTGCATGGTGTTTTACACAAGTCACCCTTCTGTCATGATTACCACATTCAGCTCATCAATGCACCCTCAACTGACAGTTCAGGTGGTGAGAACTGCTAAGATCTATTCCCTTTGCAAATTTCAGTACACAACACTTTTATAGGGGTTCCCTGGGATTGAACCTAGGGCCTTGTGCAAGTGAGGCAAGTACTCTGCCACTGAACTGCATCCCAGCCCTTTTTATACTTATTTTGAGACCGGATCTTGCTAAGTTGCTTAGGCTGGCCTTGGACTTGTGATCTCCTGCTTTAGCCTCCCATGTGGCTAGGAATACAGGTGTGTGTCCACGCGCCTGGCCTGAATACATTATCAGTAACTATAGTTCCCCACTCTACAGTATGTTACTGGAACTTCAGCATACCTGAAGTACATTCTGTATCCCCCCATCCCCTCCACCCTCTGAATCCAGCCACTACCATGCTGCTTCTCTGGACTCAACTACCTTCGATTAACCTGAGTGAGACACTGCAAATCTATGTGTCTCACTTGTTTCACTTAGTGTCAGTCCTCTAAGCCTACACATGTCCCAAAGGTCATATTTCCTTCCTTTTTTTGAGACAGGGTCTCCCTTTGTAGCTTGAACTCAAGGTGATCCTCCTGCCTCAGGCCCCAGAGTGTTGGGATTACAGGTGTGCTCCACCACCCCCAGCTCCTTCTTTCTTAAGGCTGAACAATACAGCTCTGAATTCTTTCTTTTTTCTTTATTCTCCTCCACCGAAGGCCATTTAGACTGCTGCATAATATATAAGCTTATTTCTTTATTCTCCACTGAAGGTCACTTAGGCTGTATTATAGCTTGTGTCTAGATGTCCTCCCAAAGCCTCATTCAGTCACACATGAAGCTTTTCAGAGGTGGCCGGGTCTTCAGTGTGTGACACTAGGATTGACTGATTCATAGTGCAATGCTAGGATTAAGGGCGCTAGGTTTAAGGATTTGACTGCTTCCCGACTAAAGGGCAGGTAACCTGGATAAGATATAGGGGACAAAAAGAGGCTTGCTTCTTGTCACTTGCTTTTGCTGTCTGTCCTGCCATGGACTGTTTCTCCTCTGTGACGCTCCTCTGCCCTACCACCCTGCCTCAGAGCCATGGACTGAAACCTCTATGAACTTTTTCCCCTCTTTAAATTAGGTGTTGAGTATTTTGTCTCAGCAACGAAAAAGGTAACTAAGACAGGCTGAAAAATATTGTCTATGCTGAATAGTATCATATATATATATATGGCAATCTCTTTATCTTTAATACCTCCTCATCTTTGCTGTTGCAACTGATGCCGTAAGCGGTGGCGCAGAACTGCCCTCCTTTCCTTCGGATGTGTACCTGGAGTAGACTGCTGGCCGCACGGCAGTTGTGACTCTCGTCCTGAGGACTCCAAGCCATTTCCCATCACACTACACAGGGTACAGGCTTCCCGACAGCACTGCGCCCTCCCCTCCACACCATGCCAGCCCTTGCTACTCCGATGGCAGCCACACCGCAGGTGTGAGGAGGCCTCATGCTGAGTTCTAATTCCCATCCACCCGACGACGGATGGTGCTCAGCTCCTTCCCACAGACCAGGCCCATTTGTGCATCTTCCTGGGAAATGTCCACTGAGGTCTCTGCCAATCTTCTAACCAGGTGATCTGTCTTCTTGCGGAGCTGCCTGAATTCCTCTTAAGAGTGGGCACCAGGTGCTTATCAGACACATGGTCTGAAAATACTGCCTCCCATCACACAGGCTGTCCGCCTCCTGGCTGCATCCTTTCCTGTGCACGTGCTCTTAGTCTGAGGAACTCCCTCTGTCTTTGTGTGCCTGTGTGTGTGTGTGTCGCTGAGAAACTGAACAGACAATGAAAGATGTATTGATGACAAACTTACTACAACTTACTACATTTTCCAGCTTATTTTCTGTAACAGGTCAGAGGACAGTTGAATCAGTATTCTTACTTATATGATGCCAAGAATTTAACAAAAAGGCCTTCGTATTCTTGTAATAAAGTTTAAAAAGCTCAAAAAATTTAAGATATCCTTTTTAGAAATTATATAATTTATTAAGACTATAGTTTATTATACATAGTACTGTTAAGCCAAACTTTTAAAATTCTCTTAAAAATAAAGAATTTACAGGGCCAGGGATTTAGCTCAGCATCAACACGCCTGTCTCGCAAGCCCAAGGTTCTGAGTTCGATCCCCAGAACATCCCCCCAGCAAAAAAAAGAATTTACAAACCTGTATATAACAGTTATCTGTCTGTACATAATTGAATCATCGACTAACCTTTGCTATAGGTTGAAGAACTTTCCTTCCGACTCAGCTTAAGATACAGTTTGCTTTTGGGTTCACTGTAACATTCAGGATTTATAGTAGTAAACTGCTTTGGTTTGCCATACCGTTTTCTCTGAAAGTCAAACCCTTTTCTGAAAACAGAATAAAAAATAAAGATAAACATGAATTTTAATCAAGTGTGGTAGTGCACACCGGTAATCCCAGCACTCTGGGAGGCTGACACAGGAGGACAACAAGTTTGAGCACAGCCTGAGCAATTGAATGAGAGCCTGTTTCACAAGGGCTGGGAATGTAGCCCAGTACAAAGGCCCTGGATTCAACCCCCAATAGGAAAAACAATAATTTGGCTATGAAAGTACATTTCATGCCTATCACCAGCCTACTAGTGTTAAAGGTGACCCCATGGTTTGGTCAGTGGTTTCCCTTAGAACTGGGAAGGAGACCCCTGAGCACACTGCACAGCAATTAGGACGGCAGCCTCCGCCAGCTGTCCTGCGACTGCCGACCCACCTGACGCTTCTAGGGTGCTGAGTTTTGGTACAGCAGCTGGGCGCTCTCTCCGGCAGACACCTGCCTGTTTCCACCCTCCAAACCTGTAATACTCCATTCGGGTGGCTCTGGGGTAATCACAGGCGGACTTGGCACCGTGACACACACCTGACCAAAAGCTGGCACTCCTCGTAGAGCGGGACCTTCTGACTGCGTACGTACGAGCCAATGCTCCTCACGTCATTTACAACCACACTGGGCAGAGACACCTCCCGTGTGGGTCGGCCTGGCGTCACCTCCTCCAGCCACTTGAAAAACTTGCACTGCTCGGCTCTGGGTCTATCGCATGTGTAGAAGAGACGGCCCTAAGGGGGAACAGACGTTAAAACCTAGGGCTGGGCGCAGCACCTGCCTGGCAGGCATGAGGTCTTGGGCTCAAGCCCTAGAAATGGAAAAAAACTAAGACCAACTAAAAATTCAATGAGAAAAATGTTTAGTTTTTGTGTCGTCAAGACCTTTCATAAAGACTGCTGTCGTTAACGCAGTGTAGTAAATTAGTACCAGACAATTGACTGTTATTATGAATTTAAATAATAAATGAAAACCTAAAACCACCTACTTTTCCATTTATTTTCACTTTGCCGAAAAGATTTCTTATTCTGAATATGAAAGCTTACATAAAAATGACAGTAAGTTAAAACATACTGTTTCTCTGATTCACAGGAAAAAGTGCTCACTGAACAACTTGAAATCTAGCCAGAAACAACTCCAAGCAGCACCTGTATAGCTCTTTCTGTCCTTCTTCCGCACACAACACACAGGCAGGCCTGTGCACACACAGAGCCTCACTTTGTAAAATAAAATTCAATCAGTGATCCATTTTCTGCTCTGTAACCTAACCCTAAACCAACATCACATGCACATGCTGCCATCTCATCAAATAATTTTGAAAATAACACAGCTTGGCTGCAGAAGATTCATCATCCAGCCATGCTATTATTTATGCATGCTTGCTTTGACAACTAAATAGTGTGGGTTTTTTGTTTTTTGTTTTGGTTTTTTGAGCCAGTCTTGCTGTGTAGCCCAAACTGGCCTTGAACTTGAGGTGGGGATTAGAGGCGTGCAGCACCACAGCGGGCGGACACCTCATCCAAAGTCACACTTATATATTCAGGGAAGGTCTACGGGGCTGCAAGACCCTGGGGAAGATGGTACGGCATGAGGGCTGGGAAGCACAGGTGCAGAGGGCAGCCCAAAGACAGCGCAGCTCTGGGTCCCCGCAGTGAGGGCTGCGAGTTGGACCGGTTGCAACCCTCACTCGGTTTTCAGTTTCTGGCGCCAGTCCATGTGTGCAGTCCGTGAGGGCTGCACTTGCTGGGGGAGTGGGAGTGGGAGCCTGCAGTTACCCTGCTCCGGTCTCCTCGGGCAGACTCACCTCTGCGTTCTTCAGCCCTCCTCGTGCGCACTGGAGTGTGGGCACAGCTCTCCTGTTTTATCAACTCCACAGGACATCAAAGTTTCTTTCTATGTCTCTTTCTGTCCACTACAATGTAATGAGCTCTTTTCTGTTACTGATTTTGGAGAGGTTTTTTTTGTTTTTTAGTTAAGGCAGGACTTCACTATGTATTCCAGACTGGCCTTGAACTTGCAGTGATCAGCCTGCCTCAGCCTCCTGAGTGCTAGATTATAGGCATGTGACAACATGCCTGGCTGTCCTCACTTTTTGTTTTTTGACAATTTTATGTTCTATTGGGTACTGGTTCTTGAGCCAGTGCCCTCCCATAAGCTATAAGCCCCCCTGTAAGCAACCGAAGGCTGATGTGAACTCACGTTCACAGACCATTCTTTTTATTATAAGAGCTGAGCACTCCTTACATATTAGCTACGAAGGCTGTACATAGGATGGTACTAGCCTAGTCTCCCCTCATCCAGCCCTCCAGGAAGCAAGGGCACACGAACAGAACATGAATGGCATCCAGCAGAGCTCCAGGGGGCAGAAGGGAGGCACCAGTACCTGATTCGGCCCCTCCTTCTTCGCCAGGACGAGTTTCGCAGGTTGCCTGTGGTGGCAGGATGGCAAGCTGTCTTCCGCAGGCTTCATCTTCTCTTCTTTCAGTGATGTGTAAGACGTAGCCTCAACCTTCAAGAGAGCTCTGTGCAGCCTCTGTGCCGATCCAAACAACAGTATGTTCAGATGTTCTACAAAAGAGGCAAAACAACTGTGTTCGTATCACATGTGTGCTCTTTACTGGCCACATTTCAGAACAGTCCTTGAATAGTCAACCAGAATACAACACTTCTTTTTTAAAAGGTGATTTGCCTTTGGACCTCCAAACACTGAGATCTAGTTATGCATGAGACTTAACATTTTCCACTTCACAGTGCCTTTAGCAACACTTCTATTTTAAGAAATGAAAACAGCCAGGCATGGTGGTACAGGTCTGTAATTTCAGCATTCTGTGAGGGTGAGGCAGGAGGACTGAAAGCTAGAGACCAGCATCTGAAGTTGGGATAAGTTACCATCAGAAACTAGAACAGACATGGAAAATCAACCTCAAGTGGAGAATTCAGTACAAAAATTTGTAACACGTTCCACTTTCCCATAGTCCTGCTACATTAAGCAGCAACGATAACAATAGGGAAACCTAGCAGCGGTACCTATGATGCAAGACGTGAAGGTCTGCTGATAGTGGGAGGCTGACTGAAACAGCACAGGCACGCGATTCCGCCGCCGGGGAAGAGGCGCAAATTCCAACTTCTGCCTGCTTGGGAAGCACAACTCGGAGCCACTGATCTCCTGCAAGAGGAGGTTTCAGTAGTTACAGGAGCTCCAGAAAAAAACGGTGACCGAGTATAGTTTCCAGATCTGTTCAACACCGCCGTCTTAACAATGATCCAACCAGCAAAACATGCAAGCAAAATACAGCAGTGGCGCTGGAAACAGGAGAAAGGGCTGGGCGGTGCCAGACACGTTTTAATGTCTACAAAACGCTAGGCCAGACTGGAACAAAGGCGAGGACAGGACCGAAGCCAGACTGGGCACTCAGAGAGCCCTCTGCTCCAAACGCCCGTTCCAATTGGGTCCGGCGAATCCTGCTGAAGCCGCGCCCAGCTGGAAACCGCCCCGGCTCACCTGCAAGCCCTGCCCGCCGCAGCCCTGCTCCTGC